CATCTTGTAGTAGACGAAGTTCATCAGAAGAAGCAGTGTTTGAAAGGACATTGTAGATCTGGAGGTTTTCCCATTTCTCCAGTTCACCAGCAAGACACCAACTGGAGGACTCTTTCAACTCACTGCAGATCTGCAATGAGAATAACTTCATTTTTTTACTCCATTTGTTCAGTGTTCCTGAATATAATACATACCTTCTAACACACCACTGATGTTGATGCAGTATTTAATGATAAACTATATACAGTACATGTAGTCATGGGTCAAAGTCAACTTTATTGTCAAATATGCCACACATACAGGACATATGGCACAATGAAATTTTAGTTAAATGAAATTTCCTCTCGGACCCACGGTGCATAATGGCAAAAATATTTTTGCAAGTAAAGAAGATACTCCTTTAAGGACAGTATATAAAATAACCATGTATATACAATGTACAAAAGAAACACACTTGTAAGAAATATGTATATATTATATGAAATATGATATAATAAAAATGTAAATAATATACAGTGTATATATTATATATCTCATTAATCAGTCAATTCAATGAAAGAATACTAAGACAAAAATCTTAAGAGATGGATAGATGAGAACAAAACCTTACACCACATAAATATTTAATTCATGGAAATTATTTCCTAAATGCCTCTATACAGAGCAATTTATTACAAACTATGAGTGCACTAATATGCTGTCACAATCTTATTGACATTGTTTTTTACTAATGTTTAATAAATATGATCCTGGCGATTTGGTTTTGTAAAAAATAAATACATACAATAACAACAATAATATTTAACTTAAAGTAAAACAACCCAGCTATTATCTCAGGAAATTAAAATGAATAATTGCATCTTCATACCAACATCCCAACAGGTTCACCTGGTTTAAGAAAGCTGTGTTGTTTGAGTAGACAGCCACCTGCCGGTGAGAATGGTGAACTGTATCACTGCTGGACAAGAGCACCACCACCAGTCCATCGAGGTTATGGTTCTGACTGACTGATTTAAGCCCTTCCACAAAAACATGCCAGTCCTGAGAGAGAGAGAGAGAGAGAAAGAGAGAAAAGAAAAGCCAGAAACATATATGTTTTGACAGACTTAAACTCTATACTTACAACAACTTATTTTACTGTTAATATATTATACACTCAGTTACCAGACTTTCTGCAACAGTTTGGCTGTGATTTACTGTGCCACAGAAGTTTTTTTTCTTTTCTGTAAAATCTGTTGTTTTAGCAGCGGCTTCATTTATAGCAATGAGAGACAGAGCTGTCAAAGCGCACAGAGGGGTAGAGAGAGAGAGACACTTTGTGATTTATTGTTTGGAAATTAACTGTTTGCTCTTAAAACAGCCACCATGCACAGATTATGGTAATTTAGTGACACACACAATGATTGATGGATGGAAAGTTGCATTAATTAATTGTTTTGTTTGTCAAGGGAACTTGTTTTTTTCTTTCTCTCTAAAATGATTAACAGCAAAATTATTGCATCCATAATTTGCATTGCAGGCTTATGTGCAAAGTGATACTTTTTGAAAACATGTTTGCTTGATTTATCTAATTCCGTTGTACGTGTGTTTGTTTTGTGAATTTCTCCACACTGTAGCAGTGCTAATTTTTAATCAAAAGGGAGTTTAATCAAAGGGAGTTTGATACTGAAGTGGAAACATTTTTATTACTGGGATTTTATACCATCCAAACTCTGGATGCATTTTGTCCTGTGTACAGTGTGTTTGTGTGTGTGTGGTCCTCCTCCCTGCTTCAGTCTCTGCACGTGTGTACAAGTGTGGGTCCACTGAAAACAATGGATGATTGCTTGAGGCGCTGTATCAGTCCAGGCTGTGTCAATATTAACCTGTGAGGATGAGGGGGCTACAACACTCCTCCCCTGCTTCTCCCTCCATGCCTCCACCCTTCACTCCCTCTCTACAATATGGCTGCTGTCATAGTCAGCACCATCAATCCATACACACACACACACACACATACACTTGCCTGACACTGCCATTTCTCAACACTGATATCCTGATGAGTGCAATGAAGCTTCCCAACATTTGTTAAAACACACATATTCACTAACTTAAATACGAATGCACAAGCAGAGGCCTGTGTTACTCTTAACGCACAAATGCACACACACACACACACACACACACAGATCCAACATTATTTTACTGTAAACTCATGTATGTATGTATGTATGTACACATATGCGTTTGCACAAGGCAATAAAACCTTCATAATATACAGTATAATATAAACATAAATGTAGGGATGATGACGATGCTGAGGCTCCACATTCCAGCTGCGTTTGTAAAGCACACACACACACAGGCATTCACACTCAGTGGCAGGGAAATAGAGTCAGAAAATGAGCGAGAGTGCAAATCTCTGAGATAACACGCAGGGCAACAGTCTGTCTACCATTTGGCTCTTAACTGAGTAAATTACTACTTAAATTGCCTGCCCCCCACCCTCTGCCTCTTTCTGCCACCTCCAGATAAACAGATTGTCCTGTCTTCGTATATTACCAACATGTTAGCTATAAAAATGCAACTCCCTAAGTGCTTGCGCGAATATTAGAATACACATTTTTTGCACAGGATCTACTAAACTTTTAAGATTTTGACACAAACTTCTCCTGCACAAGGACAGTATACAAATGTACAAAATTCAAAATAAAACTAAAAAACAAAAGTAGGATTTTTATTTTTGCTATTTTGATATATATATATA